CCCCGACGCGAACTAAGTTGCTCGCCTTCGACCGATGGTCTTTCCCGAGCGACTCGCACCCGGGCCCAAGGCGCGACATGGTCCACAGACCGAGCGCCGCGCCAAGTCCTGGAACCGCTGCATCGCGCGTCCGAGCCCGGAGCGAGGCAAAGCCGTGACGTCAAAACTGCACGGCTTCGCTGCTCTTTGAACCGGTTAACTTTAGCTTAGCCGGCAGTGAAGCTCTTAAAGGTCGCCGGATTTGGCGACGATGGCCTCGCGGAAGTGGGCGTCGATGGTGGCGCGGATGATGTCGATGGTCGCGTCGCGCCATCGCAGGTGGAGCGCCTTGGCGACCATGGGCCGGCACGCGTCGAGGTCCGCGACGTGCTTGAGCAGGGCGACGGCGTGCTTCGACGCGGTCTCGGAGACCTCCTCCATGCCCAGGAGCGTGTCGACGGCGCCGCAGGCGACCATGCGGGACCGCGCGTCGTCGTTCTCGTAGGACAGGTTCCGCAGCGCGCCCGCGGCGCCCTCGCGGCACGGCGTCGTGCCGCCGCTGCCGCAGAGGTCGCAGAGCGCCTCGACGGCGCCCGCGGCGACGATGGCCGCCTGGTTCGCCGCGTTGTCGAAGGCGAGGTTCCAGAGGCAGCGCGCGGCGCACTCGGCGCCCGCGGCGACGGACGTCGCGGTCCGCGGCGTCGCGCAGCGGAGCGAGCCGCCGTCGCGGAGGAGCTCGACGAGCGGCGGGATCGCGCCCGCGGCGACGACGGCGACCTGGTTCGCCTTGTCGACGGCGAGGTTCCGCAGCGCGCCGGCCGCGGCCTCCTTGGCGCCGACCGTCGCGCCGTCGCGCGCGAGCGCGACGAGCGCGGCGACGCCGCCGTGCTGCGCGATCCTCAACTTGTTCCGGTCCGAGATCGCCAGGTTCCAGAGGCAGCGCGCGGCGGCCTCCGTGACCGGCGGCGACGCGCGGCCGCAGGTCGCCGGGTCCGCGAGGCGCACGAGGTGCCTGCGCCGAATTCAACCACTGGTTTGGGTGGTCCCGACCAAACTTGAGAATTCTCGAGCTCGGTCACATCGAAGTCGATTCGGCCGATTTTTGGACGAATCGATCGCTCTCGTCGAGTTCTCGAAGCACAGCCGAAGATGTTGCGTCGAAGCCGTCGCGTACGCGCACATTGAAGTCGAGTTGAAGATTTGAATTCGGCACGGCGAGGCGCGGCACCGCGCCCGCGTCGACGACGGCCGCCTTCGCGTCTTTGTCCATCGCGAGCACCCGCAGCTGGCTCGCGGCCTTAAGGAGCTTCGTCGACGTCGCCTGGGCGTTGGCGAGGACGCCGACGAGCGCCTCGACCTTTCTTCGCGCCTTGTCGCCGTCGTCGCTCGACGTCCGCGTCACGCGCGCGCGCGTCGCGCGGTACGCTCCGCTCAGCGTCCGCGACAGCGTGCGCTGCCGGTTGCCGATCTCCTTGGCGTCCTTGACCTCCGACGGCCGCGACGGCGACGACGGCTCGTCGTCGTCATCCTTGCCCTCGCTGAGCAGGATGTCGTCGAGGGACGCCGGGTCGCCCTCGGCGGGCGACAGGCGCAGGTCCGAGGGCCGGCCGTCGTCCTTGGAGGCCTTCGGGCGCGTCGGCCAGAACCCGTCGCCGTCGTCGTCGGAGGCGTCCTTGGCCTCCATGGGTCGGCGGCGGGGCTGCTCCTTCAGGGGCTGCTTCTCTTCGGGCTCTCCATGCTTCACTGCTTCATCACCGTCGCGCGGGGTCGATGCTGCACCGCCGTGATTGTCCCACCATCGATCGGCTTTGGGCGGGCGCATTATGCTGGCTGTGCACGCGTGCCATGGCGCCAACAGCCGTGGATTCAGTCGCGTCGGCGGCGTATCACCCAACGAAGACGGCCGTCTCGACGCAGCCGTTGCACCGACGCAACGCGACCCCAACAACCGCCTCGAAGACGGCCGTCGCGGCCCACCGAGGCTTGCTGAGCGCCGCGGAGGTCGCGGAGATCCGCGCCTTCGCGGCGACGCAGACGCGGCCGGAGCAGATCCAGAGCCGGTCCCACGACGACACGCGCATCGTGACGTATTTGAGCTACGAGCGCGCGTTCCGCCGCCGCCTGCCGGAAACCTACGCAAAGCTCCGCGGCGTCGCGCTCGCGAAGCACGTCGCCGAGGGCGGCGACGCGTCCCAGCGCTTCGAGCTGCGCGTCGCCGAGCACCACGTCGTGACGCCCGGCGGGGGGCTCTTCGACCCGCAGCACGTCGACGCGGGGAGCCTCGTGACCGTCGACGTTATGCTCGACGCGGCCTTCGAGGGCGGCGCGTTCCGCACGTTGGAGGACGGCGCCGCGGTGTCGCACGCGGACGTGTTTCGGGACCCGGGCGACGCCGTCGTCTTCCTGTCGCTCAAGCGGCACCACGTCGACCGGGTGACGGCCGGCGCGCGGCGCGTGCTCGTGCTCGAGTTCTGGGACGGGCCGGAGCGCGGCTGCCCGCACCGCTGCGAGCGGCCGCGCGGCGCGTGCGACGTCGCGGTCCACGACGCGGTCCTCGCGGGCGCCGGCGACTTCGGCGCCGCGTTCTTCGGCGCGCTCGACCCCGCGCTCGTCCGGGACGCCATGGCCGCGCTGGAGCGCGACGACTAAGGCGACACCCGCTTACATTTCAACAACGGGGGGGGCGAGGGGGGGGGGACCGCCGCGGCGGCGAGGCGCGCGCGGCGCGCCGCTCAGTCCAGGCCCATGGCTTCGAGCCCGGCGACGAGGAGCATGGAGGCGGGGTAGAAGGAGAGCACGATGGCCGCGTCGCGCATCGTGAGCGTCTTCTTCGTGAGCACGGCGCCGACGGCGAGCTGGACGAAGACGATGGCGATGGTCTCCGCGGAGTACTGCCACGCGATGCCCTTGAAGTAGATGAGCCCCATGAAGATGGAGAGGCAGAACGTGTTGTTCATGGACGCGGCGCCCTCGAGGGCCGTGAAGGAGATCGTGATGGAGTTCCGCGTCTTCTTCTGCGCGTAGTAGAACGACGCGAGCAGCTCCGACGCGTTCGACGCGAGGGGCGCGAGCACGAAGGACACGTAGAAGGGCGAGATGCCCGTGCGGGCGCCGATCTCCGACATGACGTCGACCATGGGGTCGCTGAAGATCAACACGACGGCCGTGCCGACGGCCAGCGTCGTGAACGCGCGGCGCTTGATGACCGTCTGCTGCTGCGCCGGCGTGAGGTCCGCGATGTCGTCGGGGATCTCCTCCTCCTCGTCCTCCTCCTCGTCGTCGTCGTCGTCGTTGACCGACGAGATCGCCGACGCGAGCGCGTGCGTGTGCTCCGTCTCGGACGTCCTGCTGATGACGTGGTTGCAGATGCCGTGCACGAACCTGCCGGCCGCCGCTCGAACGGAGCGCGAGCAAAAGAAAGACGCCGCGCGACGCGCTCCTCGAAGTCGATCTCGCCGCTCTTGTCCGCGTCGAGCTCGTTGAAGAGGATCTGCATCTTGTCCTACCAAGCATGACGGTGACGATTTTTCATCGTTTTCCCACCCCAAATCTCTCGAGAATCGTCACGGCCACAGGACGCTGATGTTCGCCGGCGTCGGATGCTCCCCGAGGTCGCGGAAGACGTTCTCGACCTCCTGGATGTCGAGCTTGCCGTTCTTGTCGCGGTCGAAGCGGTTGAAGAAGGGCCGCACGATGTCGCCGATCTTCGCCTTGGCCGCGTCCGCGACGCCGACCGTGCCGTACGCGCCGGGCGCGGCGCTGTCGTCGACGTCCTTGACGAGGTCCGCCATCGCGCCCGCCTGCGGTCCGCGCGGGTCGCGCCGCGCGGAAGCGTCGAAATAAAGACGCCGGCGGTCGCGAGCGACACCTCGCCCTTCATCATCATGGACTTGATCACGGACTCCTGCTTCATCTGCTTCGAGGCCTCGACGTCCGTGGACCGGACCTGGTAGACGAGGTAGCTCACGAACCCGCCGAGCGTGACGACGAGCCCCGCGAGGGCCCACTGGCGCTCGCCCGCGGCGACGTCCGCCGCCGACTCGCCGGCGAGGAAGAAGGCCGGGCCCTGGATGATGCCTGGCGCGCGGGAAACGCGTCGTGTTTTTTTCCTTGTGAAACGCGGCGGACGCCGGAATCGATGCCGTAGGACACGCAGGTGAGGCACATGACGACGGCGCCGGAGCGCACCTGGGCCCCCGGCTGGACGCCCGCGCCCGTCCAGCTCCGCAGCTTCGTGAGCTTGGGCTTCTTGCCGTAGTTCGCGTCGCCGTCGTCCTTTAGATCGACGCGGCCGGCGTAGAGCGCGAGGGCGAAGGGCACCTGGGGGACAAGAGCGACGCGTCATCTCGACGTTCTCGGGCGCGTTGGGAGACGCCGGCCGCGCGCCGTGAGGAGCATGATCGTGCTGCCCGCCAGCGCACCCACGCCCACGGCGAGGTTTTCCTGAGCCTCCTCGACGCTGCCCAAACCGCTGAAGAGCATGATCGCGCCGTCGGGCACGGCGCCGAGCACGGGCAGCACGCAGCTCCCGACGATGCCCGCGAGCGACGGCACGAGCAGGAGCAGGTCCGAGCCCTCCGAGATCTGATTCGACGCCCAAAAGAGCGCGTAGCCATAGGAGACGAAGAGCCAGAGCAGGCCCGTGTTCCCGATCTCGCTCGCCTCGATGTCCGGGAACCCCATGCCGGCGGCCTCGCAGGTGCGCTACGACCACGAGACAGCAGCCCGCGCGGCCAACAGAATTGAGCTTTGTCGAGATGCTTTATCGGCAATTGTAGACCTTCAACGAGAGGTGTTAATCATCAATGTTGAAGATCAACATAAACCTTAGATGAGCCACTCGGCCTCGGGCGCGTGATGCGCACTGGCCTGACCCGAGAGTAGAATGGCGCGCGCCGCGCTCTTCGCGCTCGTTTGCTCGCGCGCCGCGTGCTTGCAGCGGCCTTCGTCCTTGACTGCGGCGCCCGGGCCCACAATAGCTGCCAGCGCTGGGGCTTCCGACGACGAGTCGCTGACGCTGCTCTACGACTCCAAGTGCTGGGCGTGCCAATGGGAGGTGGACCACCTGACGTCGAACGGCGCGGACATGGATTTCGTGGACATCGAAGCCGACGACTACGGCGGCGTCGTGAGCTACGCCGACGGCATGCGATCCATCCGCGCCGTGCGCGGCGGCGGCGAGGTGCTCACGGGCCCGGACGCGTTCCGCGCCGCCTACGCGCGCGCTCGGCCGACGGCGCTCGGCGCGTTCTGGGCCCTCGGCGAGACGCCGCCGCTGCGGCCGCTCGTCGACGGCGGCTACGCGGCCTTCGCCGCGCTGCGGCCGTGGCTGACGCGGGGCGCGAGCGTCGAGGCGCTCGCGGCGGCGGCGGCGACGGACCGCGCGAGGCGAGTCGTCGCCGCCTGCGCGCGCGACCGCGACGTCTCCGGCGGGGCCGTCGCCGACGCGCTCGACGCGCTCCGCGCCGCGCGGCCGTGCCCGCCGACGCGCGCGTCCTTCGCGGGGCGGTGGGAGCTCGTCTGGACGTCGTCGCTCGCGCGCGTCCCCTTCCTCGGCGGCTACATGCCGAACCGGGAACTGCTCACGTGGGACCTGGAGCGCGGGCGCCTGGACCTCGAGGTCGAGATCCTCCCCGTCCTCCCAAAGCTCGCCGTCGTTGGCGAGCGGCTCGAGTTCGCCGACTCGACGCTGACCTACGTCGTCGGCGAGGGCAAGCCGCCGTCGTCCTGGGCCGTGTTCCACGCGGACGGCGACATCGTCTGCGCGGACTCGTCGGTCACGGGCACGAACGTCATCCGCCGCGTCGGGCCGGACTAAGGTTCGCGGAACTCTACACATACAAAAGCGCGCGCCTCACTGCGGCGTCTCGCGAAGGCGGAGCCGCGGCCGGGCCTTCGGGCTCGGCTTGGGCACGCGGTCGTAGGGCTTGCAGTCGGAATCGCGGCGGTCCGGCGGCGGCGGCCCCGGGTCGTAGCAGCTCTGGGCCGCGTCGAGGCAGGACCCCTCGAAGCCGACGCAGGACACGAGGCCGAGGCGCTCCCACCACCAGCGGCCCTCGGCCTTGGGCTTGGCCTCCTTTGGCAGGCGCCGCTCCACGTCGTCGTAGAACTCCATGCCGTCGTCGTAGTCCGCGGCGTCGTCGTCGACCTCGGTGGAAGCGGCGAGCGACACGGGCACGGTCCAGCGCGTCGTGCCCCACGCTCGCTGCCGGTTCGCGTCCTCCCAGGGGATGGGCTCCGGCAAGTTCGAGAGCCGGTCCGGAGAGTCGTCGATGCTCATCGTCGGCGCCCGCTGCTCGAAGCTGATGCGCCGCGCGGCGGACATGCGGCTCGACTCTAGGGAGGCGGGCGCGGCCCTCGCGGCCGGGAGAACGGGCGACGCCGCGGGCGACGGCGCGGGGGACCGCTCCTCTTGGGTCGGCGGACTCCGGGGCGCCGGCGCCCAGCCGGACGTCGACTCGGCCGTGAAGCTCGCGCGCTTCGCCTTGACGGAACTGTGCTTGAGGTCGCGCTCGACGTCGAGCATGCGCGAGAGGCGCACGTTCTCGTCGCGCCGCTGGCTTACTTCACGCTGGAGTTTCATCGAGTGCGAGAAGAGCAATGAGATGTTCTCAATATCTGCCCCCCAGATCTTCGGCGCGCCGTCGCGCTCGGCGCGCGCCATGGCCGCGAAGAGCCCCTCCCTCCCACCGGGGCGGCTCCCAGGGATTCCGCAGCCCCTGTCCCACCTTCGGCGCCCACCACCTTTCGGTGTCTTTTCGGCTGCCCCTGTCTACAGACGTTAAGATACGTCTACGGTTGAACTTCAACTTGAAGATACTCCGGGCCCGAATGTTACTACGCGAGGATGTCCGGCTCCTCGTAGTCCGGGAGGTCGTCGTCCATGGCCGCGGACGCGCCGGTTTCCGGGTCGTCGCCCTCGGCGTCGGCGACGGCGGACGCGGCCTTGGCGAAGACGGCCGCGGCCGCGTCGGGCAGCTGCTCGGGCATGGACGCGCGCGCGTCCGCCGCAGCCGCGGCCGCGGCCGTGCGGTCGGCCTTGGCCTCGATGCGCCGCAGCTTCTCCTCCTTCTGCAGCGCCATGTTCTTCTCGTCGAGGAACTTGCGGATGATGCGCGACAAAGACGACGCCTTGTTGCGCACCCTGCGGAGGTCGATGGAGAGGAACTGCTCCGTCACCGCCATCGCCTCGGGCTCGGCCATGGACGCGAGGCGGTTGAGCATCAAGGGATCGCATAATTCTGTGGGCGTGATGATGCCCAGGTCGATCTGCGTCCGGAGCCGCGCGACGACGGACGCGTGGACGCGGTCGAAGTCGCGGGGCAGCTTCACGTGGCGGCCGACCTTCTCGAGATGGGCGGTGGGGTCGATCGGTTTCGCGCGCTCGCGCAGGCGCAGCATCTTCGCGTAGCCCACGTAGGAGTCGTCGCTGTCGGACTCGTGATCGCCGTGGCTGGGCTTGCGGGCGAGGGACCGGTGCTCGAACTCGGAGCTCTCGGACGTGTCCGTGCCCAGGATGGGCCGCCGCGGCAGGCGGCTCCGGTCCTCGCCGCCGCCGCGGTCGGGCCGCCGCGACGACGGGCGCCGCCGCCGCCGCCGGGGCGATTCCGACGACGACGACCGCGACCGGCTCCGCCGCCGCCGCCGCGACCGCCGCGACGACCGGCGCTTCCGCGACGGCTTGCGCCGCCGTCGCGACGCGTCCGAGGAGTCCGAGTCATCGCGCCTGCGCTTCTTCTTCCGGTCCGAGCCGCCGCTTCGCTTCTTCTTTTTCGATTTGCGTTCCTTGGACGACTTGGCGGACATTTGGGCGTCGTCGCCTTCGTCGTCCGCGTCGTCGTTTTTCGCGTCCTTCATGTGCTTGTCGGACGACGAGCGCTCGTCATCGCCGCCGTCGCTCTCGTCATCGTCTTTGCGGCGTCTCGTCGCCATGCCCACGGCGCGGGGCTGCCAATGATGACGCTGGCTTGAAGCCCAAGTTGAAACAGTGCAGAGATGGTGGCTGTCATAAATTATGTATGTGATTCCAGCTCGCCGCGTGAGACATGCAGTGGCTGTGGCTCCTCGTCGCGGCGCGCGTCGCCGACGCCCGCTTCGCGAATCGCACGGTCGTCGTCGACCGCGGCGCCTTTCCGCACCTCGCCATCGTCGGCTCGGACAAGGGCGGCACGTCCGACGCCTTTGTCGCCATCGTCAAACACGGCGACTGGGCGGCCAAGTACACCGTCGACTGCGACACCATCCGGGTCAAGAAGTTGGGCGACCGCGCCCGCGACAAGTGCCGGCAGAAGAGCAAGGAGTTGGGATGCTTGTACCGCGGTGGAACGCTCGAGAGCTGGAGGCGCTGCTACAGCGGCTACGTGCCCGACAACATGAAGAAGGGCATCACGGACAAGCTCTGGATGGACGCGACGCCGAACTATTTGTGGGGGTGGTGCAGGGGCACCGACGCGGCCTCGCGGCTCTTCGAGCTGTCGCCGCGGACCGTCGTCGTCGCGCTCCTCCGCGAGCCGATGGACCGCCTGCGGAGCTTGTTTAACTACTGGAGCACGGAGCCCATCGGCCTCGAGATCGCGACGACGCTGGAGCCGCACGTGCTCCTCGACCTCGCGTACCTCGAGAAGCCCTGGGCGACGCCGGTGACGCGGACGACGGCGAGCGAGACGCTGAGCGCGGAGCGGCTCTTCGAAGAGGGCGGCAGGGACGTGTACGAGCTGTACCAAAAGAACTACGTGATCTGGGCCGGCGGGCAGCCGCGGGAGGTCTGCGCGGGCGTGCTGGGACCAAAGCAGCGGCGCGGGCCCTGGGGGCGCGGTGAGATGAGGGAGAGGTGCCCGGTGTTCACGAATCTCATCTTGACGGGTTTGTATTACACGTTCCTGCGGCATTGGATCCGCCTTTTCCCGGAGCAGGTGATCGTCGTCCAGTCCGAATACTACTTTCAGGACCGACGCGTACTCTTGAGCCTGCTCGGCCGCGGCGCGCCGGCGCCGGCCATCGACGGGCCGCCGGCGTCGTCCCACGCCAAAAAGGTCGCGAACCGGGGCCACTACGTCTACGGCAACGCGACGCTCACGAACGAGACGCACGCGCGGCTTGAGGCGTTCTACGCGCGGCCGAACGCGCTCCTGCGGACGCTCCTCGCCGACGAGGCCAGAGCCGGCCGGATTCTCGTGTCGCCGGACCCGGCGGTGCCCGGCTCCTGGTGGACCTAATTTTAAAAACCGAGCCACTCCAGCTGGTTGACCGAAATGATAACCACAGCTAAAGCTTCGCGCACGTAACCACTGTCAGTCTCGTTTGATCCTCGTCGCTGAAAAGTGTTATAAACACACAACAAAAGCGAGCAAATGAAATTTGCGGTCACTCGATTGAAGTAAATGTATCTCCGACCATCAACCAACAACAAACCTCCTTCAAGAACACCCCTGCTGCGGGATTTTCAACGGCCTCCAAGACGCCTTCCAAGGCTAACCCTCCGGCTTCGCACCGTGTCGCACGGCATGAGCTGCGACGATCTTTTTGGCTCGCGAGCACCTTTATGCGTCGGCTCATGGCCCGCGCATGTGGCGCCCGAGAGCGTGTGGTGCCGTTGGAGCCCGTGGCGCGACGCCGTGCCCGGCCCGCTGGCCGCGACAGTCGCTCCGGTCGGCCGCGCCGAGGACGTCTCGGCGAAGCGCTCGCGCGCCGCGCGCTGCGCGCGCGGGGTCGCGGGGCGCCCCGGGGCGCCGCGGCACGTCGGTACGGCGGCGCCCACGAACGATCAATTCGTTTGCGGTCGTGCCGGCGCGCGCGCGCGCGCGCTCGGGATCGGCCGAAAAAAACGGTTGGTCGTTGCTCGAGACGCGCGCGCGAAAAGTGTGCGACAGAGAGTCGGGGATTGTTTGTGCGCGCGCGCGCATCCAATGCCGCCGTACTGGCGCGTCGTGATGCTCTGCGGCGCCCCGGACACCGCGCGCGCGGCGCGCCGGCTCCGCTCGTTTCACCGAGACGATCTCGGCCGCGATCACACGCGACTCACGTCGCCCCACGACCCAGGCCCGCCGCGCCCGGGTCCGCATGGGTTTCGTACACCCTACGAACCAATTTCCTGGCAGAGACGCGCGCGCTGACGCCCGCACACCCGGTTTCGATGCGTATCGGACCCCCCCACGGAGACGGCCGCCCGCGCCGCGCGCGACCGAGAACGAGCTAGCGCGCGTGGAATTTTTCCTACCTGGGGAGTAACCCGAGGGAGGCGTAGGAGTCGACCGCGTCGATTTTGGTGCCGATGGCGAAGCCCTATGCCTTTCCCTAAACTCCCGGAGGACGCAGAACACACCACCGTGCTATTAGTGGAAACTTCTGCTCCGCTACGCTTCCCAAATTCTTACTCTACGAGTTGCGAATTACAGGGAAGGCGCAGCGTGCGCTATAAAACTACTTAAACCCGAGTTGCCCGAGAATCGCCGCGTCGACGGCGTCGAGCGCCTCGCGGAACGCCGCGGGCCCGACGCGCGCGGACGCGTCCGCGAGGGCCTGGCGCGCGACGGCCGCGAGGTCGACCTGGGCCCAGTCGTGGCCCACCCGCCACGCAGAGAGCGTGTCCAGCGGGAAGACGAGGGCCGCGTCGTCGTCGTCGTCCGTGCCGACCTCGGCGACGCCGTCGAGGCCGTCCGCGCGGTCGCCGCGGCCCGAGACGCGCGGAGCGCGCGCAAGGTGCACGGGCGCGGCCGTTGGGTTTTCTGTCGACGCCGCCGCGAGCCGGAGCGCCTCGTTGACGAGCGTGAGCGTCGCGTCGAGCTGCGATAGGAACAGCCCGTCGCCGAGCGCGGCCAGGCGCAAAGCGGCGAGCGCGCCCATCTTCGCGCGGTGGACGCGGACGCCGTCGCCCGGCGCCGCCCGCGCGACGTCGTCGACGCTCAGCGCGTCGCCGCGCACGTGCGCCCGGTCCAAAAAAGCGCGCAGAATGTCCAGCGCCAGGCCCTCGCCCAGCGCGGCGGCGACGGCCGCGGCGTCGCGACAGAGGCAGCGGGCGAGCACCGCGAGGTGCTGCGCCCTGACGGCGTCGGGCACGCGCGCCTCGAGGGCGTCCCGCGCGAGGAGCTTGATGGCCTTGAAGTCGTCGCGGCCCAGCGCGGCCAGCGCGACGGCCGGGCACCAGGCCAGCGACGCCTCGAGGCACTTGTCGACGTCCCGGTTCGCGCGCCAGTTGACCTCGCCCGCCAGCGCCGCCAGCGGCCCCGCGAGGGCGTCCAAACTCTCCCGCGGGAGCCGCTCGGGCCCGAGGACGCAGTAGGCCTCGACGACCTGGCAGACGTCGACGGCGAGCGCGAGGTCGCGCGGCGGCGCGACGAGCGCCGGCGCGAGCCGCGCGAGCGCGCTCAGCGACGCGGGCACCGGCGCCTGGCCGTCGAAGCTGCGCACGAGCTCCAGCCAGAGGCGCAGGCCCGGCCCCGCGCAGCAGAGCTCCGGGTCGCGCGCCGCGTCGCAGAGCGCCGACACGAGCGCCGCCGCGCGGTCGACGACGGCGCCGACGGCGCCGCCCGCGCGCGCCGCGACGACGCCGACGCGCGCGGCGTCGGCCAGCGCGCCCAGGAGCGACGGCGGCGCGGGCACGTCCGCCGTCGCCTCGGCGTAGAGCGCCTCGACGTGGCCGAGGAACGCCTCCGCGACGGCGACCGCGACGGCCGGCGTCGCCGACGCGGCGCCCAGCGCGCGCCGCCCGCAGGCCTCGGCGCAGTGCAGGGCCACCTCGACGTGGTCCGGCAAGGCGAACGTCCGCGCGCGGCCCACGGCGGCGGCGAGCGCCGGCAGCGCCGCGCTCTCCGCGGAGAACGCGGCGAAGCCGCAGAAGCACCGGACGGTCTCCAGAGCCCCGAGCGCGACGGCCGCGTCGCCCTCCGCCGCGTCGGCGCTCGCCTCGCCGCAGACGAGTGCGATGAGCTCCGGCGCGTCGTAGAGCGAAAAGGCCCAGCAGCGCGCGAACCAGTAGAGCCGCCGCCGGACGGCCGCGAGGACGACGCGCGTCGAGAAGTTGACGTGGAGCGCCACGGGCGGCGCCAGCGCCGCGTTCCGCAGGCCCCGCAGCAGGCGGGGCAGGGCGCCGCCGATCCACCGGCGCACGCGCTGCGGCGCGTCGTCGGGCAGCGCGTCCGCGAGCGCGCCCGCGGCGACGCCGCCGGCCCGGAGCCCCGCCTCCGCCCGGGCGAAGAAGCCGCGGAAGTGGGCCAGCTCCTCCTTGCCCAGGCGCCGCAACGCGTCCGGCGACGACGACACGCGGTCCACGGCGCCGAGGAGCGCCTCCGCGGCCTGCGCGCCCACCGCGCCGTCCAGGACCGCGGCTTCGAGGCCGGACGGCTGCGGGCTCCGCCGCGACGCGTCCAGCAGGCCCAGCAGCAGCCGCTCCGCCGCGGCGCGCACGCTCCGCGCGCCGTCGCCCGTGCCCCCGGGCTCGTCGCCGCCGTCGTCGACGTCGCCGCGGTCGAAGCCGCCGTCGTCGTCGCCGTCGAGCCCCCGCGGCCGCGCGTCGTCCGCGTCGTCCGCGCGGAGCGCGTGCTCCTCGGCGTCGTCCTCCCACTCCGCGAGCTCGTGCACGGACAGCGCCAGCGCGCCGCTCTCGAGGCACCAGCGCGCGAGCCGCGGGCCGCCCGCGGCGACGAAGCGGCCGCACGCGTCGACGTCGGCGGCCGCGTCCACGGCCGTCCCGCAGAGATCGAGCCGCGCGACGGCGCCCGCCGCCGTCAGCCGGTCGTGGAGGGGCGTGCGCTCCAGCGCGTCGACGGCGCGCTCGAGGAACGGCGCCGCGAAGCGCGCGAACGCCGCCGCGTCGCGCGCGAACGCGCGCGCGGGAACGACGACGCACTGGAGCTTCCGCCGCCACCGCGGGTCCGCGGTGCCGTTGCCCTCGCAGGCGAGGACGTCGAGCCGCAGGAAGGCGCCGTAGCAGGCCTCGGCGCCGCCGTGCTCCGTCGACAGGTCCGCCGCGAGCGCGAGCCGGCTCGCGGTCTTGCACAGCACCGCCGTCGCCTCGAGCGCCTCGTCGTCGTTCTCGCGGCCGCCGGCGGCGGCCTGGAGCAGCGACGACGCCGCGGTCTCGAGCAAGGCGGCGAGCGGCGGCAGGAGCTCCCGCGACGCCCCGGCGAAGGCCCGCCGGTCGCCGGGCAGCACCTTGCGCGCGAGCTCTTTCACGACGGCGCCGAGCATCATGAGGCTCTCGCGCGCGAGGCGCCCGCCGGCGGCGTAGGCCTCCAGGAAGCCCCGCGGCGCCTCGGGCCAGGCCCGGGGCCAGTCCGCCTTGACGACCTTGCGGAGGCAGAGCCGGAGCTGCGCGGCGACGCGGCGGTCCTGCTCCTCGAGCGCGCCGCCCCGCTCGCCGGAGCAGAGCCAGGCGCGGCACCGCGCCTTCTCGTCCTCGTCCAGGGGCTCGCCGCGGCCCCGCTGCGGCCGCCAGCGCTTCGCGGCCACGTTCTTCAGGCAGATGGACGCGAGCAGCCGCGCGGCCGTCGCCGCGCGCGGGCCGTGCGGGCCCGCGGCGTCGTCGCCGCGCGCGGAGACGATGGACACGAGGGCGTCGACGTAGCCGGGCGACGGGCCGGCCTCGAGGCTCGCGATCTCCCGGTCCGCCTTCTCCCGCGCGGACCCGTAGCCCTCGGCGATGAGCACCAGCGAGCCGTGCAGCGCGGAGGCAGCGACGCGCCGCGGCCGCGGCGACGTGGCCATGCTTTTGCTCGTGTGTGTTTTTTGAAGCCTTTGGCAGCACGTAAGGATCGGTTTTTGAAGCCTTGAAGCACGTAAGGATCTCAAATCGCTGCGCCCATGCTATTGCCACAGTCCATCGCGAGCGAGTAGGTGGAGCAGCGTCGGTGCAGAGCACCTTTACCCCTCGCGAAGCCACTGCGATTTTACCCCCGGCCAATGTCCTCGGCTTGTCCCGAGAGCCGTCGAAGCGCCTCGGAGGCGTGTTTTGCGCCGTGCGCGGCGCCATGTTCCCCGATTCCGTCGCGGAAAAAAACGTAGGAGCGCCGAGCCATGCATCCGACGGGCCTCTCCGCGCGGTGGCGCGGCTGGACGACGCGAGCGGAGCGCGAGCGGTCGTGCTCGAGCAGCGACCTTCGGCGGGTGGCGCCGATCGGGTGCGCAGCTGCGCCATGTCACTCTCCGGCGACAGCTACGCATCGAGGGGTCGGGTATGGTACCACCACGTCCGCGCGGACCGCTGGTCGTCGTCCGCGCGCCCCCGTTCTCGCGCGTCGGCGCGTCCGCGCCGATGCGCGTAATCGAGCCGAGCGGGTCCGATTCGGAGTCGACACGGGCGTGCCCGTTC